GGACTCAGCGTGAGGCCGTCCACCGACACCTCGAGCCGCTCCGCGCTCAACACCGCCGCCATCTCCCGCTGCTGCGCCTCCGCGCCGGCTCAGGCGGCGGCCACGTAGCGATTTCCTGCCGACCTCTGACCTCCTCTCGCCGCACCGGAACTTCCGCTCTGGAGGAGGCCCGGGCTGGCAAGCGGGGCGAGGCCTGGGCGCCGCCTCGGGGGTTCTGCATTCGTGGTGTTCTACCGCCAGCCTTGTCCCCCACGCCGTCCTCGCGGTACAGGCCGCAGTCTCCTCCAGCCTGTCCCGAGCCGCCCCAGCCCGCGCCTGTCACGCAGCGCCGGTCAGCCCTGTGCGTGCGGCCCCGAGCCTGCCGGACAGAGCTCTTCACCTTTGCGGGCCGACCTCCCCGCTGCCCCAGCCCGGGCCTCTTCCGCACTTGGAGGGGTCCCTGTGCGTGTGGCGCTCACTTGCCGGGCAGAGGACCTTTGTTAGCGGAGCGTGCTCTGCCCAGCTGTTGGCCGTCGGTTTCATTTGTTCTTGTCAGCATCTTGAAGGGGATTTTGTTGTTGTTATGTGCCGTCTAGTCGCCTGCGACTTATAGCGACAACAGCCCTAACAGCCCTGTCTATTCCTTGCCAATCGTGTTGTCTCCAATACGCCTATCCCCATTCCCCCAGTGACGGAATCAATCCATCTCATCGAGGGTCTTCCCCTCCTGCGCTGTCCCTTCACCCTCCCAAGCATGACGTCCCTTTCCAAGGACTGATCCTGCCTTGCAACATGGCCAAAGTATGTCAGATAGAGCTTTAGAATCCTTGCCTCCAAGGAGCAGCCTGACTTCACCTTCTCCAGGACGAACTTGTTTGTTCTCCTAGCAATCAACGGTATATTGAATACTCTTCCAGCACCAAAGCTCAAAGGCATCAATTCTCCTTCTATCATCCCTAGTCATTGTCCAACTCTGATGCATACATAGTGAGTAACTGCAAAGACTATGTGACATCCACAGTGACATCGTTGCTCTTCAGTACTTTGGAGAGGTCTCTGACAGCAGACTTTCCCAATGCAATTCCTCTTTTAATTTCAAACTGAAGCTGTCAACAATCTCAATCTCTTCATCATCTATCATGATGCTGCCAATCGGCCCGGTGGTGAGAATCTTTGTTTTCCTAATGTTGAGCTTCAATCTATATTGAAGGCTGCAGTTCTTGACCTTCTGCAGCAAGTGCTTCAAATCCTCCTAAGTTTCAGCAAGGGTTATGTCATCTCCATAACACTGATTGTTGATGAGTCTACCCCCAATCCTGATGCGACGCTTCTCCTCATAGAGCCCAGCCTCTTGGGTCGTCTGAGGAGAAATTATATTCTGCCTTCTCCTTCCCCTGTCCCCTGCACCAGAAAGAGGAAACTGAGGCTGCATAGAAAGTAGATCCTAGAATTCGAATGAAGCTCATACAATTTGTGGGGCACTCCTTGTGGCTTCTTGAGTGCCATTGCGGCAGAACAGGTTTTTCTGAGGCTGTGAATTGCATGGAAGGAGATCTTTCTCTTTCAGAGTATCCGGTGGATTCCAGCCTTGTTTCTTTGCATTGCCAGCATAAATTCCTTACCACTACCAGAGCTTTGAGTTGGCTATGGGTTGGTTCTGTCTCAACGGTACACAACACACAGCACTTCGTTGTTGTTGCTGTTAATGTGCTGTCGAGTTGTTTGCGACTCATAGCGACCCTATG